GCATTTCTTTGTTTTCTTGGCATTATGCTCAACTCTAGAGATTACAAAAAAAGAGACACTGCCTCTGTGCATGAAAAGCTCATAAATTTTTTAGGATCACTAATGCTAGAATTTTTAGGCGTCATGAAAAACCAATAGGGCTCTTATTTTTAGATGATTTATGAGAGGGGACCTCTAAAAGCCAAAGTTACCCTCTGGGCGGGGCAGGGGGGTGGCCCTTGTAGTACAGGCTTCACCTGTTAGGTGAATGCTCTAGAAACCCATCTGTATCAGTGTACCAGCTGGCTTTATTGTGAGAGGTTGCGTTCGGCTTCTGTGAATTTTTTGAAGATTTAATGTGTTTGCCCATTTCATGATGGGTGATTTATGAGTACACCGGCCTACACTGTGCTGAGTGTTCTGCAGTTTTTGACCAAAAAACAGCATGACCCTCATACCCCACCCTCCCTATTCATCCAATCTCGCCCCCAGTGACTTTATTTTTGTTTCTCTGGATGAACTAAGTCCTCAAAGGGAAATATTTCGCTGATGTAAAAGAGGTGAAACAAAAAAGAACAGAAGTGCTAAAAGGCATTAAAATAAATGAGTTCAAAAACTGTTTAAGCAGTGGAAGAGAAGTCTTGATAGTGTACTGCATCAAATGGAGAGTACTTTGAGGGTGACTGAAGTTTAAACATATAAGAATAAATACACAATTTTTTAAAAATAAATAAACAAATAAATAAATTTCAGGGTTTTTGGGGTCCCCCCTCATATAATTTCAGACACTCTAAAATCATTTATTTTGCCAGTTCATAAGATCTGCTTGTTTTGGCCACATTTTCTTTATCATATGCATATTCCTAACAACCAGAAAGAATTCTTAAGATATGATTCCAAATATTTTTAAAGCTCTGATCTTATGTTTCAGTAATTCTTTTAGGACTCGATGAAGAATTTACATTTTTTTTTAAACATCTTATTTATTTATTTTTAGGGACAGGGGAAGGGAAGGAGAAAGAGAGGGAGAGAAATATCAATGTGTGGTTGCGTCTCACGCTCCCCTCACCGGGGACCCGGCCCACAACCCAGGCATGTGTCCTGACTGGGAACGCAACTGATGATCCTTTGTTTTGCAGGCCGGCACTCAGTCCACTGAGCCACACCAGCCAGGGTGAACAGTTTATATTTTTAAATCCCTTTCCTCACCAATTCTTCACCTGTACTCAGAAAGCTAATTGTGGCTGGGGCAAACACAAACTATTGATTGATATTACTTCATATTCATGACCACTAACCTGAACTGAGCCCAGAGAGCCACCCAGCAATGTCACTGCATTTCACTGGCTAAGTCACTCCCCTACTAAGCCAAATAATTATTTCATTATGTTTTCTCTCATCTCTGGTCTCCAGCATCTTTCGTTCTCTACTGATGACCTGTTTCTTATTTCTTTGAGAAAATAGGAGCAATGAGAAATACCACAATCTCCCTCATCTGCTGATGCATTGACATCTGAACACACACATTTGGTCTTCTCTTCTACTACTTTGATGAAATACCATTGCCTGAGGCCATATCTGCACTTGCATACTAGATCTTCCCCCTCCTGCCTCCTGGAGGAGGACACTGCTCCAACAATGTTCCTCTCCTTCTTCTGTTCTGCATCATCTTCTTTTCAATCTTTCCTGGACTGTTCCTTTCAGGTTTAAAACAGGTTATTGTATCTGCCCTCTTGAAAAATACAAGCCTCCCTTGGTCCCTCTTCTCTACTACCCCATTTCTTTGCTCTTCTGTGTGGCAAAACACCTCAAGAAAAGTTGTCTGTATTTTGTCTCTGCCTCCTCTCTTCTCATTCTCTTTACTCTAGTTGAGTCAAGTTTTGCCCTCCGCTGAAACGGTGCCGCTCTGACTTCCCCATTGCCCAACCCAATGGCTTATCCTTAGTCCTTATCTTCCTTATCAAGAACATTTACTATCAGGAGCATTTAATTTAGCTTTTCACTTCCTTCTTCTGGCTTCCAGGACAATACCTCTTTTGGTTCTCTTGCTACCTTCCTGCATGCTTTTTCTCTGTCTCTTTAGCTGATTCCTTTTCATTTCCAGTAGCGTAATAGCCATCCACAGCACTATCCTAGGATCTCTTCTTATCTCTTTTTAAAACTTTTTACATAAAAGATCTCACCCAAATTTATGGTGTAAAACTCCCTAATTTATATGTCTTCAAATCAGACTTCTCTTCTGAACTGCAGCCAACATATATATATCTAACATCTTACTCGATATTTCCTCTTAGAAATACAAAAGGTAACTCAAAGCTAACATTTTAAAAATCAAACACCTTTTCCTCTCTCCAGGCTTGCATTCCCCTTTTCAGTAAATGGCAGCTCCATCCTTCACATTATTCAGGTCAAAATCATTGACCTCCTTCTGGATTCTTCTTTACAAATGATCAGCACAATGTATTGGATCTATCTTTAATATTTGACCTGTTTTTACTGGCTACATAGCAAACCTGGTTCAAGCCACACCATCTCTCATCTGAGTTCATACAAGAAAGTCCTAACTGGTGCTCTAGCTAGCGGTCTTCCACAGTTCACTATTCACAAGTAGCCCGTGTAATCCATTTCACATGCAGGTTAGATCCTGTCACTCCTCTGCTCAAAATCTCCCATTTCACTCAGAGATGAAAACCAGCATCCTTCAATGCCCAATGTGTCTTCTCAATCTCCCCCTTCTCCATAACTCTCTGATCTACTCTAATTACTTCCCATCTCCCTCACTCTACCAAGCCTCCTTGACCTCCTTACATTTCTTTGAACCAGACAAGCAAGGTCCTGACTCAGGATCTTTGCATATTGCCTAGAATGTTCTTCCTACAAAGAGCCACAAGACTTGATTGTTTTCTGCTCTAATGTCACCTTCTCAGATACGTCTTCTCCATCTCCTGAAAACAAAAAAATTCCCCCACCCTTCTAGCACTTCCTAACCCCTTTTTGCTTTATTTTTCTTCTGAATATATATCACCACAGGACATACTATATATTTATTTGTTTCTACCAGAACATATGCTCCACTAAGTTTAGGACTTTATCTGTGTTGTTCATTTTTGTTCATTTATATAGTATTTTAATTTATAGATGCATCTATTACTTGGTAACATAAAGCTGGTTTTAAATGAAACCTTCATTTAAAATAGTGCTTTGTAATCTAGATGCTAATATGAGGGGAGGTTTTAAAAGAAAACTTAAATTACCTAGTAATCATGGTTAATGTTGGTTAAAGAATCCATTTTCATTGTGACTTACATTCTTAAAATGTGCAGTAAAAAAACTAGCCACAAACCATTTAAAAATATGTATGTGGTTTCTCTAACTGGAAAATATTTAAAGATGCCCTACTTACTCTTACACATAGTTGCCATTTTCTTATTTTCACATTTTAAACCTTTTTTAGCATGAGGTTAGCGTAACTTATAACAAATTTTCTGCTAATTTATTTATATATTCCACCTTATTTCAGAAAGAATATAAGGCAACTATGTAAACACTTGAATTTATTTATTTTCTGGCTTTCCAATAATGCCATAAAATTTTTAATTTGTGGCTCATTTCTCTTTTTTTAATTATTGTTATTGTACTTTTTCCCATTACCATTCAGTCCCTTTATATTCCCCCTCCCCCAGCAGTCACCACACTGTGGTCCATGTCCATGAGTCCTTTTTCCTTTTTGCTCAGTCCCTCCACCCTCACCCCTCCCCTCCTTAGCTGTCATCCTGCTTTCTGTCTGTGAGTCTGCAAAAAGCAGATTCATTTTTAATTTTTTGCAATATCTCCACACTGCTTTCCACGGTGGCTGCACCAATCTGCATTCCCACCAACACTGCAAAAGGGTTCCCGTTTCTCCACATCCTCGCCAGCACTCGTTTGCTGATTTACTGATGATGGCCATTCTGACAAGTGTGAGATATCTCACTGTGGTTTTAATTTGCATTTCTCTGATGACTAGTGACATTGAGCATCTTTTCATATATCTATTGGCCATCTAAACACTTGCATTTAATGGCATCTTTGACCTGACCTCACATACAAGCAGCAATATAAAATTTCACTTGTTGAAATATAGCAATGTTTAAAATTTCATTTTTATTCTTTTAAATGTGGAAAAGTCACATGTCATAAGTACCTCGTAAGTCATAATAATAACTGTTTTTCTAATAATACCCCCTTATTATGTGTGAAGGCACCTACCTGCTCCATGCTTTCTTATTTCATTTACTAATGATAACAATGATGTTATTATTTCTGTTTTACAGATGCACATAGAGATTAACTAACTGGCTTTAAGTCTCACAATTTATCAAGGGCAGAGCTGAAATTTGAACCTAAGTCTGTCTCTAAAACCCAAGCGCTGTGCTTTTCATCACTATGATATGTCCTTCTTGTCCTCTCATGGTGTTCATAGTGACTTCCTTGCAGGTGAGAGAAAAGAGGCAGTGCTGGAAAATATGCACTGAGAGTTAAAAACCTGGGGTGAACTAGGCAGAGTAGCTGCTGCCACCTGCATGCTATATATCCCCTTTATCCACCCCCTACGCACCTTTGTCAGTCTTAGAGAGGTTTCTTGATTCCCTGCTGAGGTTGTCTTGCTCTGCTGGTGGCCGTAAGTTTAAAAAATAGAAATATAATTTATGTAGGATTTTGATTTATAAATGCATGTACTACTTGGTAGTATAAGGCTGCTTCCTCCTTTCTTCCCTGGAGTTTTGTGTCTTAGCAAGCAGACCACTCTGGATTCCAACAAATCTAAGTGGCTGGCAAGTTGTAATCGTGGCTGGGAGACGGTGAGGCTGGAGAAATTCGGGAGTTGCTGTGTAGACACGTAATAGAAGCAGGACCTGAGGTGGAACCCTAGAGATGAAAGGCCAGTGATTTTATAACTGTTTCTTCCTCACAAAGCCTATCAAGTCAGTTCCCCAGGACGGAGAGCAGTTGATGGTATTAGATAAAGAAATCGAGCCCATGCTTCCCTCAGAAACACAGATACTATAATGGGGACAGTGCAGAGAAGATGGACATGACCTCTGAACAAGGATGACATACAAATTTGTGAAGTATTCTATTCACTGAATATAAGAATGTAGGGTACTTGTCTTTTCACTGTTGTTCAAATTCCAAGGTTATATCCCTTCTAAATTAGAGTATCAAGTTAGGTTTCAAAATGCAATATATTTACTTAAGAATCTACAAGCAACATACCAAACAGATAATGAATATAGAGATAGAACTAGACCATGGCCACAATGACCAAAACAGGAAAGAAAGATAAAATAAGATAAAAATATTTTTAAAAATGCCATACCTTCTTTAGATGTCTCTAAGGGTGATGGAGAGAAAATTATTAAAAATGGCAAACTGAGTATATCAGAAAGACAGCATGCTGTTGACAATAATGGAGTTACTGGCAAGAAATTCTGATTTTCACGGAAAGATAATTTAGTTGGAAATGTGCTATCATTCTGGTTATAGACATTCAAGTGCAGCGTTCAGTGAGAGGGCCGATATGTGGTAGCCACACAGGTGGAATAGCGACTGAAGCCAGGGCAGTGAGGGAGCTGAAGGAAAGAGCTAAGGGAAAAGGCAAGGGCCAAAGGCCGACCCTTAATTTGGTGGGGTAAGAGGAGGGAGGGGAACCCAGGTGGCAGGTTGGAGGAGCGACGATGTCACCAAGCAGGTGTGAAAAAGAGATATAGGAGCGCTCACCCAGAAGATAGTACAGGTCTAGTAGCCAAAGGAGGTAAGAATTTTAAGTAACTAAGAAGGACAGATGCTAAAAAGAGGATTTAGAAAACTTCATCTTGGAAAGGATACCATTTTAGAAGAGTAGTTTTATGGGAAAAGTGAAGACAGAAATCACAACGAAGGGCTTAAAAAAACAAGTAGAAATGGTAACTTGGATGTAGTAACCCAGGATGTAGAAAATCTGGCTGAGAAACTCAAAAAAGGGAAATAAAAGGGGTTGGCAGTTCAAAGCGTTCAAGAAATGTAAACTTAGTGAAGTCTAGTGAAAACACTTCATGTTATGATAGGTCCTGATCATAGGTCATGGAGTGTTAGAGTCTGAGGGGGCCCTATATTGACCTCAGCAGATTTCCCTGAGCTCTAAATCAACTGAGAGGAACCACAGAGTCAGGTGGTGAAATAAATGAGGGAAGAAACATTCCCCAGTACCCTCCTCTCCACTATCCCCAACTCCTACGCCCTTAAAATATTACAGAGTAGATGTTTTTAAAAGTCTTAAAAGAGAGGCTCACACTTTTTGTTCAAAGCTAATGCCAGTTAAAAAAATTTTAAGTTTTAGCTTTAACAAATAACATTTGAAATTTTACCAGGTTTAATTGGTGGGTTAGAGATCTTCAATTACTCAATTATAAAAACTTAGATAAATATACTTTGAAGTAATAATTTAATAACTCTTCTTGTCTCTTGTTCCAAACTGGGTCTCTCTACTCTAACTTCTCCATCCTCTTCGGCAGTGACGGACTTCCTTTTCCCTCATCCAATCAGCCGCCAGTCCCAGTCATTTCTACTTTCAAAGTCCATAGAAGGCCTTTTTGATTTGGTCTGCCCTACCTCAAGTTATTTCCTATATTTTCATGCTCCAGAGGATTGAACGTGTTGAACTTTCTCAAAAATGGCATGTCATTTCATTTATTTGTTTCAGAACATGCTGAGTTTTTTTCTATCTGGAAGGTTAGTCTTCCCCTACCCTACCAGATCTATACCCCATTACGACTCCTCATCCCAATCTTACCCCCATTCTACATCTCGTAGAAATGTCTCACTCAAAGCCCTTGCACTGAGCCTACACATTGCTCCTTCCCAGCGACTGCTCATTTGTTTCAAGCTACGTCCAGAACCGACTTATTCAATGGACACAGTAGGCATAGTGCCTAAGACCCACAATACTTTCAGGAGTCCATCAGAATGTTTAATTTAATTTAAAATCAAAAGGAAAAAATGAACTGTAAGTCAGAGAAAGTGTTTTAAATGTGATATTAATATATTTGCCTTTATAGCAACAGCTGTAAAGCATCATAAAAGCATAGGTATGTACGTGTGTAAATAAACATATACACCATTTTTTTCTCAATGGAAGGATTTCATGAAGGCAAAATTGCTTAGGGCCCATGAAGGTCACACTGTGGCCCTAGATAGTCTTAAATTTGTTTTTTTAATTCTCAAAATAAAATAAATTTTCATCCATTTTTCAGTAAATGTTGCATTCTGAAAGCAGGCTGAAAATGTAGCATCAAAAAAAAATAAGGAATAATTAATTCAAGTCAAATGTAATTGGTAATTCTAATTTTTTAAAAAGTTTAGAGACAGAAATGGAACAACAATATCTCACCTCAAATTATATTAACATCTCCACTGAGTCACTACAAGGAGGCAAGAAGTATTTGGTTTGGGTCCAAGCTGCGAATGTACTCGGCATGAAGAAGTCAAAACAACTGCAAGTTCACCTGGATAATATAGGTATGGAATAAGAAATTCTACCATATCTTTGCAAATAAAAACCAATTTGTGTTGACCTAGTTAAGGGAAGTCTAGATCTGAAAGGACTTCCGTGAAAGTTCCTGTAAATCATGATAAAGAAAAAAAGATTTAACAGTACCTATAATTTCTACATGGGTGTATGTGTTTTAAAAAATATTTATTGATAACTTTCTATGTTCAAGCATTGTTCTAAGGGCTAGGGGGAATAAGACAGACAAGGTACCTACTGTTCTAAATACCTTACCATCTACCAGAGAAGATGAAAAGAAATAAGAATTAGGATGAAGTGTTATGAGTCCTATGTTGTGAGAAGTGCAGTATAATAAAGAAGTCTTCGGTATGCACTGTTGTGAAAGCTATGCTTTTATTTTTATTTTGATAAATTTTATAAAATACATAGAAAATTGTGGAGAATTATGTTGACATCACTGTTTATCAGCCAAGTTTAATAAACGTTAAAATTTTTTGCTTCAGATATTTTAGACTTTGCCTTTTTAACTTATGTATAGAATAAATATTTCTATTAATATGCAGTAGTATTTTTAATAAATGTCTTTAACAGTCACTTATTGTTGGAGATTTAGACTGTTTTCAAATTTTCACCATTATAAACTATTGCCATAAACAACCTTTTGGCTGAAGTTTTGCTTGTAGTTGGTTTTCTCCTTAAGATAATTCCAGAAAGTAACAGCCTTTTACAACTACACCCCAGCTTAAAGCCAGAGGTCATCCAAGGGCACAGTCACCCTCTATGTGGAGATCCCAGTGTCAATTATTCCTGTTTTTATCACAGTAGTCCACGCTTATTTGTGGTTTTGCTTTATGTGATTTCAATTAGGCTTGGCCAACAATGGCCCAAAAACATTAAATAAAAAATTCCAGAAAGAAACAATCCATGACTTTTGAATAGTGTGTCATTCTGAGTAGTGTGATGAAATCTTGAGCCGTCCTGTTACACTCTGCCAGGCTGCGAATCATCCTTTTGCCCAGTGTATCCACCCACTGTGAATACGCCACCTGCCTGTTAGTCATTAAGTAGCCTTCTTGGTTATCGGATTGACGGTCGCAGTATCACAGCGTTTGTGTTCAAGAATCCCTTAATTTACTTAATAATGGCCCCAAAGCACAAGAGTAATGATGCTCGCAGTTCAGATATGCCAAAGAGAAGCTATAGAGGGCTTCCTTAGAGTGAAAAGGTAAGTATAGTCCAAAAAGATACTATGAAAGAAAGAACACACATTCACATAATTTTTATTACAGTAAACTATTACTGTTCTATTTTATTATTAGTTATTGTTGTCAGCTTCTTACTGTGCCTAATTATAAATTAAACTTTATCATAGTTGTGTATGTACAGGAAAAATCATAGTATACTTGGGGTTTGGTACGATCCCTGGTGGCAGGCACCCACTGGAAGTCTCAGAAACCATCCGCCACGGACAAAGTGGGGCTACTGTGTGAAGGATGATTTCAGCAAGCTAACATTTATGCAGCACTTTATTCAGTGCTAATTGCTAGTACATACATTATCTTATTTAACCCTCACCGTGGCCTTATTTTGTAGAAGAGATTATATGTATATAGAAGAAAACTGAGGTCAAGTTCCATTAAGAGATTTGAGATTGCAGAGCTAGGGAGCTTCTAATTCCAACATCCTCAACTCCTATCCTCAGTTTTTATTTAAATGCACATGACAATGTGACTGACAACTTCCCTGCTGTCTAATGATTTAGGGGATGTGATGCCTTCTTTTGGCACACAACACGGGTATTTTGGGGAGATCACTAGGGTCTTTAATTGGAACTTATGTTTCAACCTCTGTCTTGACTAAAAGCAACTGTCTCAAATAACAGGATTGGTCTAAAATTCCATCATCATGCTCTGAATATTGGATTTGAAAAAAAACACTGCTGACTATGTTGGTGAAAAATAATTCAATAGTATTGTATATTCTGGAAATTATCGTTCTCTTGAGCATGCCCTGCACATTTTTGTAAATTTACATTTTGAGGTAGGATGGGGTAATATGTCCTTTTCTTATAACAGATTAACCTTGATGGATTAATGCTGATTAAAGTTACCATGTCTACTCTCTTTTTGGCAATATCATTTTTAGTAACTAAATTATTATTAGTAACGTTACTATTATCATCATTGTGATGTTATTATGATCTCAGTATTATTGAGTTGTGTTCCAGACAACAAGCACGTCGCATTAAATTCTGGAAACAATCATATGTGATATGTGTCTATTTTACAGATGAAGAAAGAGATGAAATAATTTGCTCAAGGTCACATAGCTAGTAAGGACAGCTAGATTTCATCCCAGACTTGTTGACTTGCCATAGTCAATTACCATCTCACTTTCCATAAAAAGAAAATCTCATCTGGTCACCACCTGTAAATCTGACTTCTCACACTGTGAACAAGGGAGCCTCTTGTTTGCAGTTGTTATTTCTCCTCCTATTCCTTTCTCTTCTCTTTCTCCTCCTCCTCTTTCTCATTATCCAAATAATTTAATGGTGTAGGGGACTCCACCCAATAAAGCCACCAGAATATTAATAGATGGGCTATTTTCACTTGTGACACGTTAAGAATGAAACATTTCAAGTTAGATAAATGAACTGTTCTGTGAAATTGAGGAATGTGGACTCTCCTGGGAGCAATTTCCACATAACAGCTATGGATTGGGCTTTAATTAAGTCAGAGAGGCTGTGCTGAAAGGCAGGGCTGAGTTAATAATGTAGTAACATTATGCCAAAATGACATGTGAGGGTAGTGCTTAAACTTCTCTTGTAGAGAAATAAATTTGAACAGAGGAAGTGCAGTGTCTTCTTGCTGCCATTTTGAATATTAATCCTCCCAATGAATAATTATGGGTGAATTTTTCATGTCAGTGGAAAGATACCAAGAACTATAATCTGTTTATTTCAATATAAATGGAAACTTTAAATATGGTATCTATGATGATAACAATTTTGGGAGAATCTTTGCTTTTTTTAAATAATGGTAGGCAAACCTGAATAATATGTTGTTCATAGATAAATACATATGATGTAAAAAAAATTAAATGAATAGAATTATTACCATACAGTTAAGGACAGAAGTTACATTTGCAGGGGAAGGGAAAAGAGGTTTGGGAATGCTTGTTCAACCACCAATTAATGTCTTTCATAGGACCTAATTTAGTTTGTTTTCCAAATGGACAGTCAGTTATTTCATAATGTTTTATCATTTACTTCCTATTATAAATATCTTTATGGTTTTATCATATAATTTTTTCATATGCTAAGTTCTCTTTTACAGTTGGGTCTTGATTTGACAGTTCTTTTAAAAATGTGAAATCTGATGGGAATGTTTGAAGCCTAAGCAACGACAGCAAAAATTTAACACTTGAGTCTTGTTTAACAAACAATATGTTCAAGTACATGTTATATAACATATTTATTTGAAAAAACACAAATTCATTCACACCTAAAGGCTTAGATCTCTACTGTGTTGGCATACTCTATGCTAAGACTCTATCTTAAATCTGACTTACTGTGATCTGCATTTCTCATAGGACTAAACAGGATTTTGGTTCCTTCCCAGGATATTTCTTTCAGCAAAAGAATGCTTGTGCTGCTATACGAGTGGCAGGCCAAACTTAGAGGCAGGAGGCAGGAGAGGGTGAATAACTTACAGCATTGAGGGTGCTTGAGTGGCTCCAAGGGGTCTCAGAGCCCCCAAAGAGGTCCGCTTCCCTGTATAACGTTAGCTTGCTCAACGCCTCTACATGGGGTCCACTTCCCTGACTCTAGAAATCTCTGAATACTGATTCTTCTCACAAGAAGCTTATACTGGTTAAAGGAAATCAACTGTAGGATTCAGATGATAAAAGTTCAGTATAGTAAGCTCTTTAATTAGACTAATTTTGCTAACTACTACTTCTGTCCTATGCTAGGATTAGCCCAAGGATTTTAAGACTGTGTTACTGGAGAACAAATTTCTAATTTTCATATTTCTCTATAAACTATATACCTGTGCACATAATTTTAGATAATAGTTAATAATAAAATAACTTTATTATTAATAAAGTACTTACTTTATTATTTATAAAGTAAGGATTACTTTATAAATTTAGAATAAATGAAAAGAAATTCATAGAGGATATTACACTGTAAGAATGGTCCTTAAAAATACACATACAGGCTCTTGAGTTCTTTGTTAAATAACACATCTAGCAAAGTCATAGGTTTTTATTTTTCTAAGTGTGCCTATAGGAGAAATGGAAAGTGCCAATTATTCTATTTTGTTCAGACAGAACCCACTTGTAAGTATTTATACAGTTTAGGAATATAGGAACTTCAGTTACACCTTACTCCTAGTACAACAAAAGTACCATTAAGATAACCAATCAGAATTTTAGTTCCATTCTGAAAGTTATTATCATAGAACAAATCAGTAATTGGTGAAGTCTTAAAGAGTATTGTGAGACTTGCTTTGTTCAAATCTACTTTCAAGTACAGATTTGTTTAATGAAGAATAAAACAAGTTAGCAATAAATGTAAAGATTCATACAAATTTCCATGTAATACCATAGAATAAAAATATTATTGTAAAAGGTTTAAACTTAACAATTTACCAAATCAATCTCTGAACTAAAGTTAGGATGCAAAATCATCTCTCCCTAAAGAGATGCAGGAAAAAAGAGCTATCTCCTTTGTTTCTATTTTATACTCTGTAAATAGGCCAGGCTCTGGAATTGCATTAGGATTGTAAGGTGTTGGAGGTGTCAGGGAAGACAAGATTGTTAGAATTCCTTTTAAAAGAAATGAAGAATGGGCTGAATAGAATTTAACTTAATACCCAAACTTTTCTCCTACTTAAAGAATAGAAAACCAGGAAAAAAATAATTAATTATTAATTAGATCACAAAATTGTTTTTTTAGTACTTTGAGTTTTAACATGTCTGTAGATTGATGAAAAGTTACATGTTTCTCCCTAGGTAAGTTTTAAATTGCTGGGTTTCTGTTTTTGTTTTTTTTCTAGTGATACCTTCTGCAGCCATCATTTTCAGGGCTGAGGATATAAACACTACAGTGCCCAAGACCATAATTTATTGGAATAGCCAATCAACAATTGAAAAGGTTTCCTGTGAAATGAGATACAAGGCTACAACAAATCAAACTTGGAATGTAAGCTATCTTTCACTATTCTTTAACATGTAAGTGAATGAAAAAATAGCCAGCCAGCAGTCAGCAACCACACTGGGCTTACAATGATCTCTTTTACATGTTTTTATCTGATTCTTTGTGAAATATTCAAACCACTCTAGTTTTAATAATGATTACACTATGCTTCCAGAGAAATGTTTTCTGAAAGGGTCCTCGTGCCTTTGGTAAACAGACAAATGTCCAGCTAAGAGATTTCCATCTATTTACTTCCTTGTACTTCAGTGTCCTAAGGTGAAATGTATGTCAGTGATCATAGATATAAAATTTAAGGATCCTATGCTAAAATTTAACAGGCAGCCAGAAAAATAAAAACTGTTCAAAAAGAAAGTCAGATTTATGGGTGTCTCTTTTTAAATTAAAAAATGTGCAATTCAAAATGTAAGATTTGTAACCAGTACAGGCCTCAGGCTTAGATAAGCATAAGGTGAAATAGTGAATATCTAGACAAAATAATCACCCTTAAATATCAATGGCAGGTTACCAAGTGTCTTAGGAGAGACATAGGTAAGACGTTCATTAATAAAATCGTATCACATTACAGCATCTGTGAACGTCAATAAAAACTCATGAATTTAAACTACAGGGTAACACTAGCCTGAGAAAAAAGTTCAAATTTGAAAAGAAATGCAATTTTTTAAAATTACAATTAAATGCCATTTAGTCAAAATAATTAAGAAATGGAGTTATCTGGCTTTGCTTAATTGAGAATTACTTATCATGTATGATGGATACATGGATTAAAAAGATGTGTAATATATATTCAATGGAATATTACTAAGCAATAAAAAAGCATGAAATCTTGCCATTTGTGACTACATGGGTTGGCCTAGAGGGTATTATGCTAAGTGAAATAAGTCAAACAAATATACCATTTCACATATGTGTGGACTCTAAAAAAAAAATAAAGAAAACAACACAGAAATAGACCCATAGATATAGAGAACAATCTGATGTTTGCCAAAGAGGAAGAAGTTGGGAGATGGGAAAGAAAGAAAGAAAGAAAGAAAGAAAGAAAGAAAGAAAGAAAGAAAGAAAGAAAGAAAGAAAGAAAGAAAGAAAGAAAGAAAGAAAGAAAGAAAGAAAGAAAGAAAGAAAGAGAAAGGAAGGAGGGAGGGAGGGAGAGAGGGAGGAAAGGAAGGAAGGAAGGAAGGAAGGAAGGAAGGAAAGAAAGAAGAAAGAAAGAAAGAAAGAAAGAAAGAAAGAAAGAAAGAAAGAAAGAAAGAAAGAAAGAAAGAAAGAAAGAAAGAAAGAAAGAAAGAAAGAAAAGAAAGAGAGGAAGGAAGGAAGGAAGGAAAAAAGAAAGTTCTGGGTAAAGATGGTAGATTGAACACACTCAGCCAAATAATATAAAATAATCCCCTTTCAAAAACATAGGTATATATCATGTATGAATTTACAAGTTTTCAGGAATGAAAATGACATGTATTTAACACTAATCTTTGATGACTCCAAAGCCGTCTTCTGCCTCAACCCAATCATTCTTAGCACCAGTTTTGCTGTAGAACAGTGTGCTTAAAGAGTGTGAAGATGAGGGTCAAACTATACTGACTTCATGACAACCCTTTAAAGATTGCTCTTTAAAAATAAATTCCTGATGTCAAGTTGTTTATTTACCTTTGTTCATTTAAATCAGAAATGTGAACTTCAGAGTTGTTTAGATTACTCTTTGGCGCAAGTCCATGTGCTGCATCGTGGTCAGTAACCAATTGGCGATGCCATCGGACTCCTTCACTGAACAATTGTGGCTTCTGTGTTGCACACAGTAGCCCTGGTCTTAAAGACTGGGACAAGTGAGGTAGACACTAAACAAAAATCCAAAGACAGTCTTTTCTTATGTGGAACTTAGGTGAATTCAAAAACAGCCTGAATGAAATTCTTGAGTTGAAATTCTTGAGTCTTAGATTTTGAATTAACAGTTTTGCTCACAAAGGACATCTGGGACCCTTGTGTAGTGTCACAGTCATAGGATGATGCTGAGAATATGAAACTCCCTTATTCTGTATAGCCGGAGGCGGTAGTAGGCTGTAAGAATGTTTAGGAAACATAAAGGATTTACATTGTAAGTATCTCTGAACAGGTTTTCAGCAACCAGCTGCTTTCCGGAAGAAACCTTTGTTCTTTGCTCCCCCTGGTGGAGCTACAAGTGCCATTGTGAGAAGGGGTAACAGGTACATTTGAGCTCAGTTTTCAAAACCTTCTCTTCAGTCAGGAGCAGGCAAATGAAGGAGCTGAAAGAGTATTTGTTATCCCATTTAATCTTCATGACAATCTTTTGTGGTGGGCAGTATCAGCTCCATTACAGAATGGGCTCAAAAAAGTTTAAGTCAGGTTCTCCAGACTTTACACTCTTAGTAGCTAGGTGCTTACATAGTTTGAGCACCCCAAAAATATTTGGAAAATGAAAAACCCAGTTTCAATCCAAAACCCCTATCCTATCCCTTTTACTATGATTCTTCCAAATGTAACTACTCACACACAAAAAGGTGAATTATTATGACCCACGTCCAGTCAGTAATAGCCAAAAGGATGTTTTGTGTTTTACATTTACTACCCCACCAATTTTGTCTGGGTTATTCATAAGCTGTTGTCTTTGCCTCCATGTAGAGAAACAGGAAGTTAGAGTCAACAACAGCGGGAGGACACAAAAGATTACAGATTTGCCCTTCAACCTTGGCTCTGTTTCCATCAGATATTGCTGGAAGGAGTTTCTTTATTTCAAGTGACAGGTCTCCACCAAGAAAGCCTTGTGGCTCAGCACACAGGCTCTAGAGTTCAAAGCCTGGCTCTGCTTTTTTAGTTGCACAAGCTTGAACAAGTTCTTTATCTTCCCTGTGCCTCATCATTCCCATAGCTACAATAGGAATAAAATAAGCACTCACCTCATAGCCTTGTGGGGACGATCAAATGTTGTGTGAAGATAGCCCAGAGCTTGGAATAGAGCTAATATCCAGTAAATGCTGGCTGTTAGTGTTACGCTTCATCCTAACCTCCAGGGAAGCTGTGTGCTGGCTTAGTAGAGCAAAGGAAGCCCACCTGAGAATCAAATCAATACATTGAGAATGCCTTTCAGCCCCTCTTAGCTAAGCTGCATATAGGCTGTGAGGCATCAGCCAGCCCTTCAGGCAATCCTGCAAGGCTGATACCATGGGGAAAATATTTACCTACTTGATTATCTTCATGGACTGTCTCCCTGACATAGCAAATGTGTGTCAAAAATTGAGCTCACAATCCTCAGCAGCAGCCCTTGCCCCCTGCTGTGTGCCCTGTCTCAGGACCATTCACCACGTTGTATATACTTACCTGTTTACAAGTGTATCCCCCATCCTTTAACTGTAAGCTCCTAGAAGACAGTGCTGTACCATAATATTTTTGTATCTACACTCATTCTTGTAATGCCTACTTCACATAATTTTGAAACATTAGCTATTAGTATTATTATTTGCTTTGAAGAGTGCCCAATAGCAGAGACCGTAATTTAGGGAAATCTTCCCTGTAAGTTCGAGTAATTGGATTAACGGTGACTCATTTCTCTAATTACACGGGACCAAAGTATTGGCAAACTTTATTCAAGAGCCAAACAGTAAACATTTTAGGCTTTGCAGGCCATAAGATCTCTGTCTTCACTACTGATCTTTTCAGTGCAGCATGAAAACAGCCACAGACAATAAGTGAGTAGACATTGTGGCATTCCAATAAGATTTTATTTTTGGACACTAAAATATGAATTTCATATAGTTTTCATGTATCACAAAATAGTCTTCCTTTGATTTTTCTTCCAACTGTTTAAAAACTGTAAAAACCATTTTTAGCTCTTAGGCTACACATAACCAAGCATTCATTCTCTTCCTGGAATTGCAAATAGAACAGTGTCCAGAGAGCAGAGGGTCAAATCTTGGCCTTTGCATTTCAAAAGTGTAAATGCTAGTATAAGACAGAAGACTTGGAAGAACATGTGATTAGTCATGACTATGTTTTCCAATAATCATGCCCCTTCCCCGCTCCACCAAACTCTAGATAAAGATTACTTGAACAGAACAAGAGGTAAGGGGCTGGGGTAAGAGGGATGAACCAAAAGAATTAAGACACCAGTGAGTCACTGAGAAGGACACCCTCACTCTGGACTGTGTCCCATCTTCGGAGATGGGGGAAGTCAGGGTTCTAGAACTCTGAATTAGGTTCAAGATTCTCCTTCCCTCCACCCAAGGATGCTCCCAGAAACTTAGATATAACCCTAAAAAAAGAGGGACCTCACACTGATGGAGATGAAGTTTCCATGCCTCCACCTGCAGAACTGACGGTCTAACTAGAAATGGACTGCTATAAACAGTAAAGTCCTATTTCTTGTGCTTGAGATCATACCCTAGCCACAGGTACTCAGTTAAGTCTAGCTCTCGATGCTCATTTCATCCTCTGAAAATATCATCTAGAGGTATCATCTTGGGGTTGCAAGGCCCTAACCAGTCACCTGGCTTGTCTCATGGTAGAAACAACTGGTAACAGTTCTAAAAAATTCTTCTTTCTAATTTAGAATTCTGGTTGTACTTCAGGGTATGTCTTTAAAAGGACTTATCTATAAATGTAACGGCAAAAAACATATTGGAGAATAATAACTCCCTTTTGAGAGCAGCCGATATGAAACAGAATGCATTTGAAAGTCAAACTTTTGGCACAAGTAAAATCTCTCCTTGGTTCCAGGAGACCCTAGACGTGGCCAGTCATATTTACGTAGCAGAAAATCCCAAGGGCTATGGGTAGAGACGTGGCCCATGGAAACTCTGAATGGTATCTTTCAGAGAGCATGACATTTTCCACTACAGATATTTTCAAGAGTTTTACATTTTCAATGCATTGCAAGTTTTAAAGATGTATGTTAAGATTGTTCTTTTTTTAAGATTGGTTTTTAACAGAAGAATTCCTAAACGTGGATATCTTGCTTTTTTTAAAAAAGAAATTTCAATAGCTTCAACTATCTCTTTCATGAGTGTCTAGTAACTGTTTACTCCAGTATAAATGTGTTTCTAGATGTATTTTATGTATATCTTTCAGTCATGCTTCACTTTTTTCAGTAAGTCCATTTATCACAACACTCTGGAGGTGCTGTATAAATGTCTGGCTTCTCTCTCCCACCTGAAGCAGCTTGTTTGGGGTCATTTTTCATTATGTTTTAGAGCAGGTTGTCGTGACCCAGAAAATGATTTGCAAGTTTATACCTCAGCTATTTTCCTACTTCTCTTCCTTTGGAGTTTTACAGTTCAACTTTCTTAAGTGTTTTATTTTATTTTCTCTCTCACACATACATATATATAACAGGTCTTACAGAATTTGAGTAACTCTGCAGTAAGGACCAATTTAACAGCTTAGCTTATGAGTAATTTTTTTTCTCAAAGTCATCATTAACAAGTGAAATTATTTCACCATTCATGAAAAATTATTGATCTATATATCTCACTGCAAAGAAAGAGAGAGAGATGGAGAGAAATAAGAGACTTAAAAGAAATTGCTATTAGGTCCCCTGTTTCTTCTACCCCATTATAATCAGCCATTTCAAAATTAAGAATATATTACATTTGGATTTTCTTGAAAATTAAAACCTTGAGCCATGGTTGGTGTGGCTCAGTGGATTGAGTGCTGACCTATGAACCAAAAGGTCACTGATTCAATTCCTGGTCAGGGTATGTGCCTGGGCAGTGGGGCCAGATACCCAGCTGGGGGCGTGCAAGAGGCAACCGATCACACATTCAGGTTTTTCTCCCTCTCTTTCTTCCTCCTGTGCTCTCTCTCTGTAAATAAATAAGTAAAATATTTTTTTAAATTTAAATTAAAATATTAGAATAAAATAAGTAAAATATTTTTAAAAATTAAATTAAAGTCAAATACAATGTGTACTTCATTACTAATGTTAAATAACATGTATTTAATTGCTTATGGCCATGTTTCATATAAAATACTCTATTCCTCTCCATTTTCCCAGGCTCTAGAAAAGTGCCTGAAACATAGGTGCTCCATGCATTTTTGCTAAGTGGAATATTTGGTTTTAAAACACATTGTATCATTTCATTATTATTATTCATCCTTTTTAGGTTAAGGAATTTGACACCAATTTGACATATGTGCAGCAGTCAACATTCTGCCTGGAGCCAAACACTAAATATGAATTTCAAGTGAGATGTCGAGAAACAGGTAAAAGCTACTGGCAGTCCTGGAGTTCACCCTTTCTTCATAAAACACCTGAAACAGGTGAGTGTATTTATACCTTTAATCACTTAGGCTTTTCTTTTGACTTCTGTCTCTCTTCTAACTATATATTTTCTTCTTCTTGATTTCTATCAAAATTGATAAAACTGTTGTAGAGCAGGTGGTAATACTTAAATTGTCATATTGTTTGATTTTGTTAGGTTGACTACAATTTATGTAATGGTTTGCAAACATTCCTGGGCACAAAAAATGATAAAAACCACCTGGTATGCATGTTCGCTGTCCCTGTGTCACAGGCCTCAGGCAGTGGGAGTCGGAGGGTGCTCAAGTGTTAGCATGTCTTACAAACATCCTGGGTGATTGTGAGGCATATAATAACCTAAGCCCTTGATTTGAAAAACAGAACAAAACATTATTAAGGTTACATTCAACTGTTTAGGTCACTCTGGTAAAATATATTCTCCTAGAAAGAAACACAAATCAAATCATATCAGTTAATATTTATTACCTACTATATACTATCAGAGAGTTAAAGCACTTAAATATGAGATTATTTGATTCTTTTCTCAATAAAATCTAGGTGAGCTGTTGTTTATCTTAAGATATTTCTCTGCTCTTAATATTATTAGTTTAATATTCCAGTCATTTACACAGGTAATTCAATGAAATGTTAGCGAAAGACTTTTTGCCATGTACACAATTGTTTTTATTTTTTAATTAGATTTTATTGATTATACTATTACAACTATCCTGATTTTTCTCCCTTTGCCCCCCTCCACTTCACCCCCCATTTCCTCAGGCAATCCTTCCACCACTGTTCTTGTCCATGGGTCATGTGTGTAAGTTCTTTGGCTACTCTATTTCCTATACTGTGCTTTACATCCCCATGGCTATTCTGTGACTCTCTCTTTGTACTTCTTAATCTCCTCACCTCTTTACCCGTTTCCCCACACCCCTCTTCCCATCTGGCAGCCACCAATATGCTCTCTGTACCCATGATTTTGTCTCTATTCTTTTTGTTTGCTTAGTTTGTTTTTTAGATTAAATTGTTGATATGTATTTATTGTCCTTTTATTGTTCATAGTTTTGATCTTTTCTTAAGTCCCTTTACCATTTCACATAAAAATGATTTGTGATGATGAACTCCTTTAGTTTTTTCTTGTCTGGGAAGATCTTTAATGGCCCTTTGATTCTAAATGATAGCTTTGCTGGGTAGAGCAAGTTTGGTTGTAGGTCCCTGCTTTTCATGACTTCAAATATTTCTTGCTAATCCCTTCCAGCCAGGAAAGTTTCTTTTGAGAAATCAGCTGTCAGTCTTATGGGTATGCTCCTGTGGGTAACTAACGTTTATTCTCTTGCTGCTTTTAGGATGCTCCCTTTATCTTTAACCTTTTGCATTTTAATTATGATGTGTCTTAGGGTGGCTTCTTTGCTTCCATCATAATTGGGACTCTCTGTGCTTCCTCAACATACATGTCTATATTCACCCCCAAATAGGGAAGTATTCTCTCCATATTGTGCATCCATATTGTTTGGGACTATCTGTGCTCCCTGGACACTTGCATGTCTATCTCCTTCACCACATTAGGGAAATTTCCTTTCATTATTTTTTCAAATAGATTTCCAATTTCTTCCTCTTTCTCTTCTCCATCTGGCACCCCTATAATGTGAATTTTGGAAAGCTTGAAGTTGTCCCAGAGGCTATGCACACTATCCTCATTTTTTTGGATTCTTTTTTCTTCTTGTTCTGATTAGTTGCTTTTCACTTCCTTATGTTCCAAATCATTGATTTGATTCTCAACTTCATCTACTCTACTGTTATTTCCCTGTAAATTGTTCTTTATTTCAATTGGTGTATGCTTTGTTTCAGACTAGATCTTTTTCATGCTGCTGAGGTCCTCACTAAGTTCCTTGAGCATCCTTTTAAGCAGTGTATTGAACTCTGCATCTGACAGATTGTTTATCTCCATGTCACTTAGCTCTTTTTCTGGAGTTTTGATCTGTTCTTTCATCTGGGACATGTCTCTTTATCTCCTCGTTTTGGCAGTCTCCCTGTGTTTGTTTCTATGTATTAGGTAGAACTTCTTTTACTCTGTGTCTTGGTAGTGTAACCTAACGTAGTAGGTGTCCTGTAGGGTCCAGTGGCATAGCCTCCCCAAACACCCAAGCTGGCTACTGAAAGTATGCCCTTCATGTAGGCTGAGTATACCCTCCTCTTATAGTTGAAACTTGATTGTTCTTGGCAGGTCAATGGGAGGGATTTATCCAGGCCAGTCAGCTTCATGGACTGGCGGTGACCACTCACCACCAACCTCTGCCCTCCATGGAGGATCAGCTGAGCAGGGGCAGGGTGGTGGCACTCTGATATGGTCTGTAGCAGTAGCAGTCCACTGGGTGCACTGGCCATGGGTTATCCCATCTGGTGCAGACTAAGGCCAGCTCCCGCCTGTGTTTTGCCTAGGGCCACCCTGCCTGAGCTATAAAGCAATCTGAGGTTGCTGCTACTTGTGCTGAGCTTGGAGATTCCCAGACGAAGCCAAATTGTGAATCTAGCCTGGCTGCTGCTAGTGCTGGGCCTAGGGCTCACTGAGGCCAACTGTTGCTTGTTTGATAGGATTTAGGAAGTTGTGAAGCATGAGCCAAGACCAGCCATTCACATGGAAAAGCAGCTTGGGCGGGGGGCATAATTTGGGTGGGAAGGAGTCTCAGGGGATCTCCTAGGTGGAATAAACAGTGTTAGCCAGGTTGATGGCTTCTCAGAACTGGCACTGGCCTGCTATCTCTATGGCTCTGCAGGGGGAGGGCTCAAAAAAGGGACAATAGCCTCTGCTCACCTTGATGCCAGACACTTAAGTTTCCTCCTGTATACCACCGGTGCATTTCAAACTGCTAGGTGGAGCTCAGAGAGAGTGAGTCTGAGTAGGTGAGTCCATGTGTGGGTTCTTCAAGAAGAACTGCTTAGGGTTCCAGCAGTTTCTTTCACCAACTCAATCCCCACAGATTTTTGCAGCCAGAAGTTGTAGGGACTTATCTTCCTGGCACTGAAACTCTGGGCTGTGGGTCCTATTGTGAGTCTGGGATATCTCGCTCCTGAGACATTCCTCCTGAATTTTTATCCATCACATGTGGCTGAGAGATCAGCCCATTCTGTATCTGCATCCCTCCTACCAATCTGAGTGGAGGTAGTTTCTTCTTTTATTCCATAGTTGTCAGATTTCCATTCAACTTTGTTTCTGATGGTTCTGAGTGATGGTTGCTCTATATTCTAGTTGTGATTTTGATGTGGTTAAGGGAGGAGGTGAGCCTTGTCTGCCTATGCCACCATCTTGACCAGAAGTCCTCACACAACTTGCCAAATAGATTTTAGTTGAAAGCAAGCAATAAAACAAATCTATTGCAGTTGCCATAATATTCCATAACAGCCCCATTATCCTGAAGATGTCTCCCTACTATAGGTAGTTTATACACTAGATTTAATTTTTACTTTTCAGAACTGATCTTAATTATAATCACACTATTGTTAATATTATCTTTATTATAATATAACATCTTGGAACGTGTTTGATGTTTTCAAAGCAGTTTAACATACATTATAAATATTGATGATCACCAGCCCCTAAAGAAAGCTAAGAACCAGACTGGTTTAAAAGTTCTTTTGGTGCCCCGTAAAGCCCAAATATGAGAAATACATTATTATATTTTAAAATCATTTTTATTTTTCAATTATAGGTGATATACATTAATTATATTAGTTTCAGGTGTACATCCAGTAAATAGACATTAAATAACTTACTAAGTGATCATCCTAATAAATCTCACATCCATCTAACAAAATTATTAATGTATTAGTGACTATGTTCCCTATACTGTACTTTACATCCCCATGACTATTCTGTAATAACCAATTTGTACTTCTTAATTCCTCCACCTTTTTCACACTGCCCCCCCCAAGATTCTTCCCATCTGTCAACCATCAATATGTTCTCTCTATTTATGAATCTGTGTCTGCTTTTCCTGTTTATTTATTTTGTTTTTCAGATTCAATTGCTGACAGATATGTATTTATTGCTATTTGATTGTTCATAATTTTGATTTTTTTTCCTTTTTCTTCTTAAAGAAGACCCTTTAACATTTCATATAATACTGGTTTGGTGAGATCCTTTATCTTTTTCTTGTCTGGGAAGTTCTTTATCTTTCCTTCGGTCCTAAATGATAGTTTTATAGCGTAAAGTAATCTTGGTTATGGGTCCTTGCTTTTCATAAATTGAATATTTCTTGCCAATCCCTTCTGGCTTGCAAAGTTTCTGTGGAGAAACCACCTGACAGTCTTATGGGAACTCCTCTCTGTAACGAAGTACTTTTCTCTTGCTGCTTTTAAGATTCTCTCTTTGCCTGTACGCTTTTTCATTTTCATTATGAAATGTCTTGGTGTAGGCCTCTTTGGGGTCATCTTGTTTGAGATTCTCTGCACTTCCTGGACTTGTACATCTATTTCTTTCACCAAGGTAGGGAAGTTTTCTATCAATTTTTTTTTTCAAATAAGATTTCAATTTCGTGCTCTCTCTCTTCTTCTCCTGACACCAGCATTATACAAACGTTGGCATGCTTGAAGTTGTCCCAGAGGCTACTTACACTATGTTCAACTTAAAAATTTTTTTTTCTTTTTTGCTGTTCTGATTGGGTGTGTGTTTTGCTTCCTTATATTCCAAATTGCTGACTTAATTCTTGCTTTCATCTGCTTTACTATTGATTTCCTGTAAATTTTTCTTCATTTCAGTTAGTGTATCCTTCACTTATTTCTTCTTTTTTATTGCTGTTGAAGTTCTCACTGAGCTCATTGAGCATTTTTATAATTAGTGTTTTGAACTCTGCATTAAGTAGATTACTTGTCTTCATTTTGTTTATTTCTTTTTCTGGAGTTTTGTTCTGTTCTTTCATTTGGGACATGTCTCTTTGACTCCTCGTTTTGGCAGCCTCCTGTATTTGTTTCTATGTATTAGGTAGAGATGCTTTGACTCTGTGTCTTGGTAGTGTGGCCTAAT